ACACACACACACACACACACACACACACACACACACACACACACACTCACTGATGTGTTTTCTCTCCATCAGATCATCATCAGTTCACACACACACACACACACACACACACACACACACACACTCACTGATGTGTTTTCTCTCCATCAGATCATCATCAGTTCACACACACACACACACACACACACACACACACACACACTCACTGATGTGTTTTCTCTCCATCAGATCATCATCAGTACACACACACACACACACACACACACACACACACACACACACACTGATGTGTTTTCTCTCCATCAGATCATCATCAGTACACACACACACACACACACACACACACACACTCACTGATGTGTTTTCTCTCCATCAGATCATCATCAGTTCACACACACACACACACACACACACACACACACACACACACACACACACACACACTCACTGATGTGTTTTCTCTCCATCAGATCATCATCAGTTCACACACACACACACACACACACACACACACACACACACACACACACACACACACACTGATGTGTTTTCTCTCCATCAGATCATCATCAGTTCACACACACACACACACACACACACACACACACACACACACACACTCACTGATGTGTTTTCTCTCCATCAGATCATCATCAGTTCACACACACACACACACACACACACACACTCACTGATGTGTTTTCTCTCCATCAGATCATCATCAGTTCACACACACACACACACACACACACACACACACACACACACACACACACACACACACACACACTCACTGATGTGTTTTCTCTCCATCAGATCATCATCAGTACACACACACACACACACACACACACACACACACACACACACTCACTGATGTGTTTTCTCTCCATCAGATCATCATCAGTTCACACACACACACACACACACACACACACTCACTGATGTGTTTTCTCTCCATCAGATCATCATCAGTTCACACACACACACACACACACACACACACACACACACACACACACACACACACACACACACACTCACTGATGTGTTTTCTCTCCATCAGATCATCATCAGTTCACACACACACACACACACACACACACACTCACTGATGTGTTTTCTCTCCATCAGATCATCATCAGTTCACACACACACACACACACACACACACACACACACACACACACACACACACACACACACACACACACACACACTCACTGATGTGTTTTCTCTCCATCAGATCATCATCAGTACACACACACACACACACACACACACACACACACACACACACTCACTGATGTGTTTTCTCTCTATCAGATCATCATCAGTTCACACACACACACACACACACACACACACACACACTCACTGATGTGTTTTCTCTCCATCAGATCATCATCAGTACACACACACACACACACACACACACACACACACACTCACTGATGTGTTTTCTCTCCATCAGATCATCATCAGTTCACACACACACACACACACACACACACACACACACACACACACACACTCACTGATGTGTTTTCTCTCCATCAGATCATCATCAGTACACACACACACACACACACACACACACACACACACACACACACACACACACACACTCACTGATGTGTTTTCTCTCCATCAGATCATCATCAGTTCACACACACACACACACACACACACACACACACACACACACACACACTCACTGATGTGTTTTCTCTCCATCAGATCATCATCAGTTCACACACACACACACACACACACACACACTCACTGATGTGTTTTCTCTCCATCAGATCATCATCAGTTCACACACACACACACACACACACACACACACACACACTCACTGATGTGTTTTCTCTCCATCAGATCATCATCAGTTCACACACACACACACACACACACACACACACACACACACACACACACACACACACACACACACACACACACACACTCACTGATGTGTTTTCTCTCCATCAGATCATCATCAGTACACACACACACACACACACACACACACACACACACACACACACACACACACACTCACTGATGTGTTTTCTCTCCATCAGATCATCATCAGTACACACACACACACACACACACACACACTCACTGATGTGTTTTCTCTCCATCAGATCATCATCAGTTCACACACACACACACACACACACACACACACACACACACACACACACACACACTCACTCACTCACTCACTGATGTGTTTTCTCTCCATCAGATCATCATCAGTTCACACACACACACACACACACACACACACACACACACACACTCACTGATGTGTTTTCTCTCCATCAGATCATCATCAGTTCACACACACACACACACACACACACACACACACACACACACACACACACACTCACTGATGTGTTTTCTCTCCATCAGATCATCATCAGTTCACACACACACACACACACACACTCACTGATGTGTTTTCTCTCCATCAGATCATCAT